ATTCGAACAACGTCGACGTCATCCACCTAGCGAGGCGTCGCCGAACTCGATATTCGTGTTCGACGACGTGGCCTGCGACAAACAGGATGTCGTGAGAGAGTACTTCGCCATGGGACGTCACGCGAAGATCGATTGCTTCTATCTGTGCCAATCGTACGCTAAGATACCCAAACATCTGATACGCGACAACGCGAATCTATTGATACTCTTTAAGCAGGATGGCAGCACTAATCTGAAACACGTGCACAGCGATCACGTGAACACCGATATGCCGTACGAGGATTTTCACGCGCTGTGTCGCGCGTGTTGGAAATACCGATACGGTTTTCTAGTGATCGACAAAGATAGCGCGCTGCGCAACGGCAGATACAGGTGAGGGTTCAACGATTACGCCGTGCCGTAGAGCGTCGCGTGCGTCGTCGTCGTCGTCGAGGATGAGTCGGTCTTCTCGAGACGGTGGCGATCGTAGAGGGGAGAGAGATAAGAGAAGGCGAAACGTCGAGAAATGACGCGCGCGATGACGGACGTCGACAGACGCGAGAAAACCGCGATAGAGATAGCGAGAACGCGCGCGTCGATTCGCAGGAAGCACAGAGCGTTGAAGACCGGAAAGATGGAGAGCGATAGCGCTCTGGAGACGCGTTTCAAACCGATCGTCGAGCCGTTGCGACGCATCGCCGAGCGCGTCGGAGACGATTCCGCGCGAGGCGCGAGCGCGCGAGAGAGGGAACCGGCGAAGAGCGAGATCGACGAGACGTTCGCGCGAGGCGTCAAGAGAACGGTGGCGTCGGAGGAGGAGGAGGACGACAAAGAAGAGGCCGAGGAGAGCGCGTTACCGCCGCCCCGCCGCCGTCCGCGAAAGGATTCAAAACTAAGCGATCTCGCCGTCTGAACGCGACGACTTCCATGCCCGTGGGAGCGCCGGACGCGTCTCCCGCGCAGCGGCGCGAATTCGCGAGCGGAGACCTCTTCGCGCAGCCGTCCGTCGAGGAGACGTTCGAGACGAGCGACGACGTCTTTCTCGGATCGCCGACGACGCTCGAAACGTCCGTGAGACAATCTCTGCGGACTCCTCGAGGGCGAGACATCCTGCGCGATCAATTGGGCCCGTTGGCGCGAAAGTACGTGGGCGCTCTTCTCGGCGGCGGCGCGCCGAGCGATTTCGATCACGTTTACGGAGTCTACTTTGCCGACGCGGGCACTATGCTCGGGGACAAGCGATTCGACGTAGGCGCCGACGACGCGATATTCGTGGACGGAGTCAGATACGCCGGTACTTACGGTCTGTACGAATTGATCTTCAAGAGAATTCCCGACGATTTCAAGTACACCGAGAGAGACAAAGCCGCGTACAGGAGCATACTTCTACAAACTAACGCTCACAGGCGCGAGCACAATATTCGCATGCCCGTACTGGGAAACAAGGGATACAAGTACAAGCACGTCATAGCTCCGATCCTGCGGACGGACAGTCCGAGGAAGAAGATCGGCGGGGGTCGCGTGCCGCGGGCTATGCGCGCGACCCGCGACACCGTGGACTACGTTCACTGGGACGATCCGAACGAATTGGTGGATCGTCTAAGATTGCTGGACGCTTCTCGTCAAGCCGGCAACAACGCTCACGACAACGAGATCCTGTCGATAATCGAGGAGCTCCGCGAGGCGGGTGAGATGACTGTGAGACGATCGCGGCGACGCGCGCCTCATTCGACGGCGCGATGTTCACGAGCAAGTTCGGAGTGTCGACGCGGAGAAGACGCGGTCGCGACGCGACGAGCGCTAGATTGCGCGCGAGCGTGGAATCTCTGCGAAATTACGTGCGCGATAACGCGCTGTGCCTGACCGTCTCCGATGTTTCTTCCTCCGCGTCGCCATTACGACGCGCGGCATCTCAAGATACGAGAAGTGGCCTGGCCGACCGACAATCACGACGCGACGAACAAGAGTTACGTCGAAAGCGTTATGCACGCGGTGAGAGCGAACGTGACGAATAATCGCCAGCTTATCGCGAGCGCGAGAACGCGAGCAGATAACAACGCGGCCTCGACGGCGCAGAAATTCGTCGCTCTGAGCAAGAAGATCGACGCTCTCGAGAGCGCCGCGACCGAGAGATCGAGCGCTCTGGAAGCCGACTTTACGCGGATTCGCGCGAGGGGGAGCGCTCTCGAGAATCGACTGCAAACGCTGGAGAATCTGCAGGAGCTCGCCGCGACGAGGATCGAGACCGTCGAGGCGGAAAGATCGGCCTCGCGCGCGGTCGTCGACAAGCGACTGGACGATCTGGAGAGCTCCGTCGAGACGAATCGGACGAACGGGGACGCGTCGAGCAAACTGTCGCGCGAACTGGGGACCTCCGTCGCGCGGCTCAAGGAGATCGGCGAGAAAACGGAGAAGCGAACGAACTCGCGAGGAGAACGGCCGCGACGACGACAACGGCGACGAGGGCTGCGGCGGCGGCGGCTGCGATTCCTAAAACGATCGATCCGAATAAGGTAATCATACAACTGGGCGCTAAAACTCCCGATAAGCAACAGTCAAAGAGAGGGTAGGAAAAAAAAATAGAGACGGCGAGATGAGCGCCGCGAAACGGAGACTCGTGAACGAGCTGCACGCGCCGGCGAGAAAGAACTTCCCCCGTCGCCGCGTCGCGGTGCGCGGATACGACGATCTGTGGCAAGCGGACGTCGTCGAGATGCGTCCTTACGCCGGACGGAACAGAGGCCACAATTACATACTCACCGTCATCGACGCTCTGAGCAAGTACGCGTGGGCGGTACCGCTCAAGAGAAAGAGCGGCGACGAGGTCGCTCGAGCCCTGTCGAGCGTGACGTGCGCCTCCGGACGTCGCCCGAGAAATCTACAGACCGACAAAGGAAAGGAGTTCTACAACGCCGAGGTGCGAAGACTCGCGGATAGACACGGCATCAATCACTACTCGACGCATTCCGTGCTGAAAGCGTCCATCGTCGAGCGTTTCAATCGCACGCTCAAGAACTCGATGTGGAAGTACTTCACGCTGAACGGAACGTACAAGTGGCTCGACGCGCTGCCGCGTCTAATATCCGAGTACAACGCTCGCAAGCATCGAACCATCGGGATGCGTCCGATCGACGTGACGCCCGCTCGAGCGTCGAGACTCCTGTCGACAGTGTACAGCCACCCGAAGATCACCGCTCCGGGAAAATTTCGACCGAACGATCCCGTGCGCGTGAGCAAGTACAAGACGCTGTTCGAGAAGGGATACACGCCGAATTGGACCACGGAGATCTTCCGCGTAGCCGAGGTGCGAAGGACGAATCCCGCGACGTATCTGCTGAAGGATTCGCGCGGCGAGCCGATAGCCGGCGGATTCTACGAGCACGAGTTGCAGCGAGTCTCCGAACCCGACGTGTATCTCGTGGAGAGAGTGCTGCGCCGGAAGGGCGACGCGGTTCTCGTGAAGTGGCTGGGGATGGACAGGTCGCATAATTTATGGATAGACAAAGCCGACATATTGTGACGAACATACGTATATTTTCGCGCGATATCGCGGACGAAAAGATACATCGCGCGTATTGTAACGCGTCGCAACGAACATATATATATTTGTAATATTAAAGATAAGAAAATACATCGCGCGCATTGCAACGCGTCGCAACAAACATATATATATATTGTACAACATTAAAGATAATAAAATACATCACGCATATCTGTAAAAAAAAAATACATCACATAGCGCTTAAGATCTATCCGCGCCTCTCCTCACAGAGGTATCCTGTAGTGCCCCCACGGCAGAGTGTCGGTCGAATCCGGCACGACATAGCGCTTATCGTCGTACGGACTGAGCGCGACCTTCGACTCGCGCACGGTGTACACCTCGTGTAACTTGGATCTCAGGCACGACTGCTCGCGAGTCATCTCGATCTCGCGTCTCAGGCAGCGCTCGTAATCGTCGAACGTCAGCGTTCTCGCGACGACGCTGATTCTCACGCCCTTGCTCTTCTTAGTGTCTCCTCTACCCTCGACTCGCAACGCGTACATCTTCGCTCTGAGTCCGACGAACTCGAGCATGAGAGCGCCGTTGTTCTCGTCCTTCATCAGACCGAGAACCTTCTTATTCGCGCGCGGCACGCCGTAGGGATTGTCGACGGCGTAATCGCTCGTGTCGAATCTATCGATGTCGCGTTTCATTCGCTCGTACGCGTCCTCGCACTCTACGCTATAAATGAGACTGTCCGTGTCGGTGTACAATATCTTCACTTATCGCCGTAGAGCGGCGACATGTATTCGTAGTGAAACGCGCACAGACGAATCTTGGATATATCGAGAATCGACATGTCTACGTAGATCGGTTTGTCGATCTTCGCCTCCAATTTGCGCAATTCCACGGCCATGAGATTCTCCGAGAATACGTTTCTACTGTGAAAATTCGGCTTGGAGATGAGCGCCTCGGCTCCGAATCGACCGTCCCATCGAGTCGCGAGTCGAACGTCCACGATTGCGCACGTTCTCCATGGTCTTGCCGAAGACGGCGTTGTTCATCAACTTGTACAGATTCTTCTCGAAATCGTTACTCGCGTTAGTGCGTAAACGCGTGTTAAGTTCCACGTATCCGCGTAACTACGGCGATTGCGAGAAGCGCAGCGCGCGATGAATCCTAGTCAGACGCAGACCGTGACGAACGCACTGCTGCAGATTGCGATAGTGCGTGACGTATCGGCGCTTATCGTACAGCGTGGCTAGGAGTTTGCTCTGCCGCTTCCCCGGCGGCTTATCGCGCGTGGGACAAAACGGTAGATCGACATGGGCGTCGTGCGCGTCGGCCGGATAGTCGAGATCGACCTCGAGAATGTAGCCGACGGTCGAGTCCTCCGTCACGGACATCACGTCGAGACTCTCGAGATCGTCGACCCACTCGAATCGCTCGTACGGCAACGGCCGACACATCGCCCAACCGTACAGATTGTTGATATCGAGATACATCAGATAGATCGACGGCCGCGATGGATCGTACACGCTCATGTACTTGTTAGCGCGAGCGTACTGTTGGAACACTGACTCAGACCGCCGCGTATTCCGCGTTCCACGAACATCATCATATCGATATCGGTGAGCAGCTCGAAACGGACTCCCGTGTACTTGAGCATCGCGTCCCACGTGTATCCCGGCAACGTGAAGTAGTACGCGGGATCTAAACCGTAACTCTCCAAACAAGCGGCGCGAAAATTTTCGAACACGTCCGCGAGCAGAAGAACGTCGGTCTTCAGATAGAGATCGCTGTACTCGCCTAGATTTTCGACGCCGAATCGCTTCCAGATGCGCGTCGCGTGCGCGTAATCGCTCTCCGATACGGTGTCGCCGGTCAGAGAACTGTAGAAGGACTCGCGCGGCGGGAGACGCGTCTCCCGCAATCTCTCGACGCTGTCGACGTACTCGTACGGAAACACGCCCTTGCGCGTGAGAAGCCAGAAGTCGTCGTCGGAGAGATCGCGAAACTCGCCTCGCGCGATCGTCAGTTTGCTCTCGTCGAGATACGATGCCAGCTTATCGAGACCGGCGCCTAAAAACTGGAACGAGTCCACGAATCGTAATTTGACGTATCTGGAACGCGCGACGTTTTCCCCGTCTCCCTCCGCCGCCGCCGCGCTATCTCGAACGGTCTTAGAGAAAGCTATGTACGATTCCTTCGTCACCGGCAACTCGACGCTGCCGGGATACGCATTAGCGACATCCTTGATAATGAAATGCGCGTCGTAACCCGATAGATTGTGAAAGAATACGGGTATGACGTAGGGGGCCTTGTAATTCAAATTACACGCGGAATGCGCCGGACCTCTGAAACGGCTGGTCAAGTGACAGTGATCGCGCACGCGAACGTCGTCGGCCTCGAACGGTCTCTCGCACGCGTGACAGCGCGACGCGCCCGCGAACGTCTCCCGCTCGTCGGACATCAGATCCGCCATCGGTACCACGCCGTCGAGGGCGACCTTCGCGCGAAGTGCCAGATCGCGCAGCTTGCGCACGAACCACGCGACGCAATCCTCGCCGCGATAAGATCCGTACGCCGACGCGGCGTCGTCGAAGGAGCAACGCGTGTAATAGGCCACGCTGTGAACTCTGTGATGCTGAACGATCCGCGTATTCTTGGTTCTCCCGCCCTCGTCCCCCTCCTTCCTCTCCAACGCGTACTCCAGATCGGCGTACACCGCGAACGGAATTCGCTCCTTTCTCGAATGATGCTCGAACTCCAGCCACCTGTCGTCCTCGCCGGGAAGAACGATCGCGCAATCGTTCAGCTTGCCGCAATCCTCGCTGTGCGCCGACAGCTTCTCGCTCGTGCGAAAGTAATGCATGCATCTGAAAGAAAATACGAAATAAACGCTAGCTCGATGTCTCGCTCGCCGAGATCAAACGCTCACCGGTCGCACACGTGCGTCCTGTGCTGTAGCTTGCTCAACTGCGAGCCGATCAGACGAGACAGATCTCGAATACAGGCGAAATGTCCGACCGCGTTACCCTCGCGCGTCGCATCGCTCAGATACAGCAGATTGACGTATCTCTCCCTCTTTCGATCCGTCAGACGAAGAGGGACGATGCGAATCCCGCCGTCGCCGTCCTTCCCGCGTCGTCTCTCTACGACGGTGTACACGTTAACCGATATATCGTTCAGACGCTCGAACCGTCCGATTCCGTTCAGAGTCATAGGTAACTTCGAGCCCTCCAGATTCAACACCTCGAAGTAATGCGGATATCGCGAGCTTCTCTCGCGGTGCTTATCCACGAGATACAGAGCGGCGACCACCGACCACGCGAAACACGCCTCGTCGTCGGATCGCACGTTGACCACCGCTCTCTTCGTTTGAATCTCTCGCGGTACTCGCCCGCATGGGATTGTACACGTTCACGTTCACCGTTAGATCGAGTATGCGCGACAAGGCCCATCCGCTGTCGCGCTCTTGAAACTCCTCCAAAAACGCGACGGTATCGCCGACGACGCGAGTATCGTACCACTCGCGCAGATCCGTCGTGGGTAGAAGGGGATGATTTCTCGTGGCGATCGTCTTAACGGCGATTTTATCGCCCGACACGAATTCTCTGTTGAACGTCGTGTTCACTTTAACGCTACGATATCGGCCCATGACGTCGCGCACGCGGCGGAGCACGGTGTCCCTCGCGTCCTCGAGAAATCTCAGAGGTTCGATGTAATCGAGATTTATCACAGCGCCGGTCAACACGCGTCTCTTGAAAGCCGTCTCGACCTCGGACCACGAGAATCCCTCGCGCGACTCGACCCCGCTACCGCCGTCGTCCTCGCGTCTCGCGACACCCGCGCCCTCCCGCTCGAAGCGTCGCCGTAGATCGTTCCTCGCGCCGATCACTCGCAGGATTCGGGCGACCAGAGAGGTCCTCGCCCCCGTGGAGATTCGACGACTCGTGTCCAGGCACCTCTCGCGCAGAGTCGCGAGACACTCCTCGCACCGTCGCGTCCACGCGCGATAGTCGTGACGACGTCGCGCGCGCTCTCCAGCGTCCGGCGCTCTTCCTCCCGCATGGTCGCGTCCTCTTCTCTCCCTACGACGATTCGTCGTCCTCTCTCTCTCCTCCTCACGGCGAGGCCTTATCCACAGCGTCTCGCCTCGCGAATCCACCGGCAGCGAAATCCCGCGACGCGTCCCGGTCGCCCGCGTATCTCCGGCGTCGAATCTCGCCGCTCTTCCGCTACACACCAGGACCGTCTCGATCCACAGCTCCTCGCGCGCGTCTCGAAGACCGATCGCCCGCCTCGTCGAATAGGTCGCGACGCTCCACGCGATCCTCTCCTTCAACACTCGAGCGTAGCGGTCGATCGGCGGATCAACGCGCTCCTCGCTCATGACAACTCGCGCCTCAAGCGTATCAAATCCACGCCGCAGAACATATTTCGGCGGAACGGATACTCGCAACCGCTGTCCTCGCGATCGTACGTGTATCGCAGAGTTCTACCCGCGTTATCCTCGGGCGGGAGACTCCTGCAGCGCGCGATCGGATATAAGTATCGTTCTTCCGGTTGGGGATAATCGAACGAGTGGTATTTCCGCACGCCGTTACACATATAACCTTTCGGATCCTGATGACCCATCGGATATTTCGCTCTAAACCACCTGTTTAGATCATAGTTGTAAAAATCGGCTCTGCGACTGTGGGCCAGAACCGTCTCGACCCACAACTCCTCGCGGCGCGGCCTCCACTGTGCGTTTGAACGGCTCTTCTCAGATGATACGTCGCGACGTTCCATCGCGCGCTCTCCTTCAACTCGACGTCGTCGTCGCCTATCGGGCACCTCCGCCGCCCTAGAGTCGACAGTAGAGACGACTCCGGCGGAACTCGCGCCGCTCATACGCGCGCCTCGTCGTTCGCGAACCTATCTTCCCGAAAAAAATGAACGATCGGATAGACCGATCGCGAGACGTGTGCGCGCCTCGAAACGACCGTCGGCGTCTTTATACTCGCTCGTTCGAGCGACGACGACGACGACGTCGCGCGAGCGGGAAAAAATTTCTCCGCGGTCGCGCGGTTTTCGCCTTCGGAAACGACGAATCCGTCGAAATACCGCATTCGACCGGATTCGGCGCGCGTTATTGCGCGCGCGTCTCTCGCCGCTGCGCGTTCGAGAGGAAGGAACGGCGACGGAAGCGTCGTCGCGAATATCCCTCGCGCGCGCGCGCGCGAGTAAATCCTAACGGAATCCCGCTCCTCTCTCGTTATCGCGCTTAAAAAGGAGCGATAAGCGGCGAGTCCAAGAACGCGCGACGACCGCGATATCGCGCGAAACCGCGATCCTTCGGAACGAAGGATCGACGACCTCCGTCGACGAGAGAGAAACGCCTCTACTCGCGACGTGTTCTCCGGATACATCGTACGCTCGTTTTACGAAACGCGTGCACATTTAGGTTAAAATTCGAGCGATGCGCTCGCGCGCGGTGAACTCGCGTTCGACGTCTACGACGAGACGAGGCGAGAAACACCGCCGCGCTCCGCGTGCTCTCCCGATACATCGCGCGCCTTTTTTCTTACAAACGGACATAAAAAATATTCGAATTTACATTCGAGCGACGCGTAAGACGCGATGGAAACGCTCGAGGCCGCTCGAGGCCGCTCCCTCCTCGGCGCGTCGAAACGACGCGAGCCTGCGGAGGCGCGTATGTGTTATATAAATATTGTGTTAATATTATTTAAATATTATATAAATATTATATAAATATTATTTAAATCGCATATTTTACATTACGTCTCTTCCAGGCCTGCGTAGAGCGCGTCCGCTCCGCTCTATTATTAACGCCTTATCTCGCGCGACGCGCCCGACGCCGGGCGATCGCTGCTTATCGCGCGCGCCTAGCGCGCCGCGTCCAGAGACGCTCCGACGCGCCGTAACCAGGGACGCGCGCCCGCCGTAACCGGGACGCGCGTTCTCTCCCCCTCTCCCTCGCTCTCGCGCCGAACCGCGCTCCCCCTCGCCCCCGCCGCCCTTCCCCGCCGCGTGACGTCGCGACCCGCCGTCCGCTCCCCCCCGACCCCCCGTTTACCCACCTGACGGCGAGCGGCTCCCCTCGCCATACCTACCCCCCCTGCTCATCCGCGCCGCCGTCACCCTGCCCCTCGGATATCTTTCTATCTCTCTCGCTCTACGAGACCTCTCTCTCGCACCCGTGGAAAAAGTGGGTTAGAAACGGTATATTCTCCCTACTGATATCAAATTCAGTATTTGAAAATATAAAATACTTTATAATTTATGATTCAGATTTTGTGACATATTTTAAAGAAATTATACGGCAACAGCATTTCTTTAAAGCTGAGATTTGGCAACAAAGTGATAACATAAGAGTCATTAAAAATGCATTAGAGAATCTGCATCGTGATACAAATGGTAATAATACAGTAGGCAATATCAGACAGCAATCCATTTTTTATTCCTGCAATATTCCTATACAAAATGAAAGGCAGTTGGAGGAGCAGATGGAGGACTTCTTGAAAATTGATGAAAATTTTGATACATCGGTAAATAATGTATATAGCTATCACATTTATTTCATAATTCCGTAATTCCATACTGCTGTTTTATAATGACGAAAATTTTTCAGGTTTTAGAAGCTTCAAAAATTGGGAAAGAGTGCTTACGAATTCGTGAAACGTAACTTGAGCCAAATTCTCACCAATGAACTAGCTGCTAAATATAGTTGGCTGGGAAAAAAGAATAAACGTGTATTTCGGACATTAAAGCTATCACAGTTATTACTCGGTACGTTTTTATAATCCTTGTATACTTGTTTTTTAAAACTGTGCTGTTTTAAATGGATATTAAGTGGGTAAATATATACCTTTCTGTTATAGCTGCAGGCGAAAAGGTCAACGCTACCTTCACAAAAAAGGATATCGAAGAGGCAATACAAAAATGGCTGAAAAGGTCGAAAGAGAGGTATGATGCGGAACAAAAAAGATTGAATGTTCGAAGGCAACCGGAAGATCTATGAGATTTTTTACGCCTCTGTTTTATGTTATGTTTTATTTTATGTTATATTATGTTCCAGTTCCTATTTGGTTTAGTTTGTTTGTGATTCGACTTTTCAATTAGTTAATAAATATATATATGGGGCATTCTTTGTGAACCCGAGACCCCATGCTCTCCAGAATTGAGTTGCTCCAAAAAATATTTTTCAGGGTTGAAAATTTACCTAAACATGTCTACTTTTATTTGCCGTGTGGCCTTTTTGAAAATTCAAAATGGCGGCGCGTCCAAACTCCAAAATACCGAAAAACTATTTTATTTTCTTCCTATTGCGTGCGAAAAAAGTATTGTAGCGTATGTTCAAAGATTATTTTTGTCGTCAAAATTGTTTCTTCGTTTGCCTACTTCAAATTCGTGTAATATAATTTTGGATATTTAAGATAGCGGATCCAAAATGGCGGACCAAAATTCAAAATTTAAATGATTTGAAGGAAAATCGATACCCGGGGGTTTTCGTGGTCGCTGATCACGAATCTGAAGTCAAAATTCTGAAATTCAAAATGGCTGACCCAATATGCCCGACTGAAATGCAAAATTTCACATAATTTCGATGAAAATCGGTATTCCGGGGTTTTCGAGGGCGCTGATTACGAATCTTAGATCAAAATTCTGGAAGTAATTAAAAAATCGAAAATAAATTCGAAGTTACGAAATTTTTACTTGGGGTACTTGGGCGCGCATTATTGACGTAAAAGTAAATGTTCGTAATTGAGTATACCGCTGACGTTAGCATCATCCAACATGTACCTTATACTTTATTTTTTAAAAAAGAACACAGATAAACTGAAATATGTAAAGAGACACAACTTCGGTTTACTTTTTTAACGGGATAAAATGTAAGTAAAAATATGACAGTTATTTGCAAATACGTACATTAATTTAGTATTTTTTTCTATATGCGGTAAAGTTAACTACTATTTATTAACTGAAGTACAAATAGTACAATCAACAATACTAATAGGGGATATATCTAACTGAAAAAAGTAGTTCTTTTTGTTATACTTTCCACTCAACTATCCAACGGTAGTTGAATTTGCCATGTAGGTTTTTTTCCGGTGTTGGTTCAAAAAATTATACAGACTTTAAAGTATAGGAATAAATTGTGATTTGATTGCTATTTTTTTCACGTATTTTTTACCAACATTGTAAGGAACATTTAT